ACAAGGCCCAGCCACAGAGCCCAGCCACAGAGTTGACAGAGTTCAGGGGCGCGGAGGAGGACAAGGCGCAGCCACAGAGCCCAGCCACGGAGCCCAGCCACAGAGTTCAGGGGCGCGGCCAGTGAGTGTGGCCAGCTCTTGTCTTTCTAAGATAGAACCCCAACAGTAAACTGTTTGGGGAACAATGGCTACACCAAAAGCAATAGTTCAACATATTGAAGAAGAAGAAGAAGAAGAAGGCGCACCAAGAGAACTACCTCCATGGAAGCAAACACCAACAATCAATCAGATGCTAAAAAGATTCAACTTGACCCATGGCACCAGTAAATCCACTAAAGAGTCTAGCACATCACTATTAGATATTGCAAAATGAATACAGATCAATATATAGGACAAAAGCTACAGTTTCTGCAAAGGAATGTCCAATAGCAAACCTAAGAAAAAGATAGTAAGTAACTACTTTTATCTGAAAGATAACGGTTTCATTACTGAGTAACAGTTTTCAGAGGAACTGAATTTACAAAGCTAGAGATTACAGGCTCATCGCATTTAACAACAGAGGCCTGTTCAAAGTCAAGTAGCAAAAGGTGGAGGTGGTCGAGGTGGTGGAACTTATGCAAATACTCAAATTGATGAGTTTTCAGCTTTGAAAGCAAACCCATCAACAAGATAATTTACTAAAACAAATACATCAAAGTAGCGCATACTGCTCACAACTCTTTGGTAGAGTGGTTGGGTAGATAGATGGGGGAGGGGGGGTGCTCAGAACTCTTTCCCTTCGTCACCTCTCCTTCAAGAAGACTTCACAGTAACCCCTCCCCTCCACTCTTCTTCAAGAAGACTTATTACTACACTCTCCTCCCACATAGTTTATAGACTTAACCCTTAACCATTTAGTTCATAAACTATATCAATGATGATCTTAGATCATGTGGATGCAATCATGCACATATCATGTGATGTTGCATACACATGTACAAATCATATGCACATGATGTGATGTGCATTGCAGTATACATATGCACAAGACATACGCACATGATATGATGTGCATGATATACATGCATGTAACCATAAGCAACCACTAATCTTGCGGGGGTACCATTACCATATATACCCGCGAAGCCTAGCTTTTTGAGCCGGTGGCCAAATCGGTGTTTTCGTGCAAGTTTTCTCGTCTACGACACATTTCATATATACCACTGAAACGACACCAAACTGGTCCAGAAATCAAGCAACTGAGGGTCAAACTTGTCAAGCATAATCTCCCGCAGTTCAACTTCACAGTGGTCGAACAACTTCGGCAAAACTTTGGTTGCTGGCAGCCCCTCAGCCGCTGGTAACTTCTCTTGCTGAAGTGTGATGGCAACCAAGGACTTGGCCCCATCCCAAGATGACATAGTAATCTCATACTTGTCCACATCCTCAATTCTCGCCGTCTTGACCCAACTCGAAGCAAGAAAATTAACTTGCCAGTTCCTCCACCCCTCCCAGCCCTGTGCTGGAATGCATGTGGCAAGAGCCGGGTATATAATTTTAACTTTTGAGAGGACCCATGACAAGCAATGGAATGCGGCAAGCAAATTGGAAACCTCTTTTTAACTACGCCGGCGTGCCTATCTTCATAAGATCTGCTTTTGGATCGCTGAGTGCCTGGCCTTTCTCAATGCCTGAATAGGCTCATTCAATCAAATCATTAATCTTTTTCTCCCCTCCTTGACTGCATTCCTATCTCTGTGTCGCTCTTCCTCTACCTCTCATGTTTGGCCTACGGCACAAAGCTGCCTGCAAATTCAGAGGGCCGTGGGTCTCATTTAGCGGCTTGGGGCTGCTCAACTCCACAAATTTGGCCCACCTCAAGAAAAGCACCGCAAAAATCACATGCCAAGCATCGCTCTAATCTTTAATCCATGGCCTGCGGCCCCGGGTAGAGTCAGGGCCTTCCTCACCAACAGACTCGACGGAGCCCTTGGCAAGGTCTCTCAGAGTCCACCGCTAAGAACTTGGTCCAGAGTATGAATAATTGTGTCCAAAAAGGCCAGCAAGAAAGAAGCTACGGCAACTCGAACGGCTGAAACATTGCAACGCCTTCTTTTTGTCATCTATGTTTAGGCCAAATTCTTGTGCTCGAGCATTGCGATACTAGAAGCTGCCGTGGCGCCTCAAATAGTTGAAGATCAATCTGCGCCTGAGCAGCGTCGGATTCCCAAGATTATGCACAAACTGGCAAAATAGATGACATCAAGTCGGTAGTCGGTCTGCAGTCGGTCTGGCATGTGCACTTTCCGTGGGATCACATGCAAATTCCAGTACAAAGCAACAACTTTCCATGGCAACCCCACCTGCTTCACTTCGGTCATGAAGTCAAACACCCCGTCGCAGATCTTCTCAGCACTTCCCACCTAGGAGCAGAACACGTAGTCAAGGTCAGGAAGCAGCTGCCTCACTAATGGAGGCCATCTCTAATTAGATTGGAGACCATCGCTAGTAGGTTGGAGGCCATCGCTATCAGGTTGGAGGCCATTCGCTATCAGGTTGGAGGCCACTACCAGTAGGTTGGAGGCCATCGCTTGCAGGTTGGAGGCCATCGCTAGTGGTCGGAGGCCATCGCTGTTAGGTTGGAGGCCATCGCTATTAAGCCCTCTTGGCCCGAGACCTCCATGTTGTGGCCACGGTGAGGGTGGAACCCCCCCCCCTGGACGGGGGTACCAACTCGGGCCTTGGATTCCCTCGTGTTTTCCGCCATGGAGGAACTGGACCTCGAAAGAGGGCTCACTGGCATTTTACAGGATTTTTCCCTATGGGGTGATCACAATGCTATCCTGCCTGATAGGCCGAGTCTCCTGGTTCAGGATATGAGATTGCAGACGCCAGATCTGACTTGTTCACCTTCGAGGGTGTCCATCTGGTGGCTGCAGGTCGAGGAGTGGCGGAATTCAAGATGGATTCAGTTTGGATTGGCAGCGATACACCCATGGCCCACAAGATCCAACTGCTATGGCAAACTGATGCTAAGCCGTCTATGCACAACTTGGCCTTGCAGGGGATCATGGATAAATGTCTGTCGTGGAATGTTGAGCTTCAGTATCCTCCCCTCCCCAGACACAAAGAGCTGATGTTGCAGTGGATGCACACTCGTGTATTTTGCCATTGCGGAAAAGGAAGACTGGCCCCATCCCCACCTTACACCTGTTTGGAGGAGCTTGGGGAGGCTGGTCATTTGCAGGCCAGATACTCTCAGAACGGGGTGTGGAGATGATTGCAGGAGCAGTCGAACTGGACTTTGCTGCAGCGCGCACTTACGCTATCTCGCATCGATGCCCTTTGCTTACAACTGGAGAGGATGATCCCCTTCCACCACTGGCATTGCACTCCTTTCCTGAAGGTTGGTGTTTATGGGCAGATGTTATGGACTCATCGTGGTGGGAGGCAGCTGCGGTTTGGGGACCTGAGATCATCACGATATCAGCCCCATGCCCACCGTGGAGTGGAGCAGCAGCTCAGCGAGGATGGCATTCCCTGGATGGCCAGTTGCTCCTGAGAAGCATCGCACTCTGCAAACTGTTGAGGCCCAAGCTGATTCTGATAGAACAGGTGGCTGCCTTTCATGCTCACCCACATCGACATTGGATTCAAAAGGCGCTATGGTTTGCTGGATGCCAACTACGCTTCTCCCATGTCATTGAGCTTGGAGATGTCATGCCGGTCAGGCGAGCGAGGTGGCGGGCATTGCTTACTTCATCCATGAGTTTGATCTGAAATTCCCTCCTTTGTCCTCATGGAACATTGAGCGAACTGTTACACTGGAGGAGTTGGATTGCATACTTAGCTGGCCATCGCACATGTCAGCGACTAGCGGTATCAGCGGATGCTTTGAATCAAGCCCAACAGATTCCACTGGAAAGAGGCAACAAACAAGCTCGCAGATGTTCGGCTGATGAAGCTGCTCATTCACATGTGTTTCAGCCTCAAGACAAATGCTTGCCGACCTTCATGGCCCAGTATGGTAGTCAGCACAGGCTGCACGTGGAGTTGCTTGAGAGAAAGGGATACTTTGCACACTGGTAGATGATGATCAGGCACCACGTTTTTGGCACCCGGCTGAAATTGCCTTTGAAGAACTGCGGAATGGCGCAGCGGATGCGGACTTTCGCTCGAAAGCGGCTCAAGGGCCCTGTGGCCAGTTGGGGTCAAACGGCGGCGGAGGCGACAGTTGGATCAGGGCTCAAGTGTTGGTTTCTCGTTTCACATCCTTCAGGGGGTGCCTCTTGATCCAACTGCCTCCTAAGAGCGAATTTTGCTCTCGCCATGGTCCTACGCAGCAGCGTGGAGTTTCCAAGCCTCTTGGTCAGCGGGTCGGCAATCATGATGTGCCCTGGGACCCAGTATGTGGTCACATTCAACAGCTTGGCGGACGTGTAGATGACCGAAACATCGATCTGGGCTCTTCTGTCCTGGCCGGCATTCCCTGACCTCCGGTGAAGAAGGTCATACAAAGCCTTTGCATCCGTCACATGGATGCCCTTCTCATCATCCTAAACATAGAGCTCAGGTGCCCGGCTTTCATCTTCAGGTCGGCGCATGACCAGCACCGAAGCTTCAGGACCAAGGCGGGTCCGATCCATCACGCAGGAGGATGGATCCATGATCTCGTGCCACAAGGCACGGATCCATTCGATCTCAGCCAAGGCATCATCCATGGCCAAGGCTTCGGAGCCCAAAGTGGCTTTGACCACTCGCTTGAGGCGATGGGATCGCCAGCTGTTGATGGAGAAGTCGGCCTCATTGCCCTCCATGATCGTGTAATCGGCGAAGGCAATGATGAAGCCGCCTTGAGACTTGTTTTCCACATTCGCCATTGAGGCGTCAGCCACGCTCATCCAGATCCCGCGCTCAGGAGGAATGGGCAAGATCCGGATCACCACATCAGGTGTTTGCTTCAACTCGGACACGGTTTTGTTCGCCATCAGGATGCGCTCGATGGTCGGGCCGTTGGAGCTCCAGCTCATAGCCATTGCACATGCTGCTCCAACATCAGGTCGGCCCTCCTTTCCAACCCAAAGCAAAGAGCCGCCCACACCACGTAGCCATGTGACCTCTTGGTCATTGAGAGGCTCTGCTTTCTGGCGCAACCGCTCCTTGGGCAAAGTGACCGGCTTCAACTTGGTCTCGATGTAGCGCTTCATGCTGATGTCAATCTCAAAGTTCTCTTTCTGGGTCAGCGTGCGACCAATGTAGTCAGCGCTATCACCATAGACATCACGCCACTTGCCGAACTTGAGCTTGGTCCGAAGTTGAGCCATCAGTTCATCATGGCGTTTGTTGCCGCCCTGGCAAAAATCGTCCACGTCAAGCAGGACGACGCCAGCAACTGAAAATTTTCCACCTTCTTTGATCTCCTCCGGGTTGGCTTTGAGGTAGTAGAAGCACGGATCAAAGATGCTTTCATTGTAGCCGAGGGACATCAACAATCGACGCACAGTCTTGCGCCACACGGCAGGGGCGTTCACCAAGCCATAGACAGCCGTGAGCACCTTGATGATGGCGCTCTGCGGATAGCCAGGAATGCCAGTTGGAGGCATGGTAGCAAACAAAGGTCCTTGCGACCTCTCATGAGGATCTGACTGTCCAAAGGCGCTGCTGACATCCATAATGCGCAGTCGAAAGTTCATGGAGGCCAGCACCTGCAAACAAAGCATCACAGTTGTGGAGGAAGGTGTAGGTGCATAGCGCTCCAACTCCAAGGCATCAGGATCTTTATGCCCAAGCAACAGCCAACGAGCTTTGGCTTTCCAGCTTTCTCCAACATCACCGGTCTTCTTGATGATGAGGTAGCGCGAAGGCATGATCCTGTCAGGGAACTGCTCTCGGATTTGATCACATTCTTTCTCATCCACCACAATCTCGATGGCGTTGGAGTTGATGAGGTTCTGAATCTCGAGCAGTTTGGCATCATTGAACATCTTCTTTTCATGCTCAGGCAGCTTTCGCTCATCCAGCTCTTTTCCGCTCTGCTTGGTCAAGTAGGTGATGGGCTTGTCCAAGTCGTGCAGGAAGTAGAACACGTCAGTCTTCTCGACCTTGTTGAACAGGTTCAAGTCGCGTGCATTGGCCACGATGGGGTAGTCAGACTTATTGCCCCATTCAGTCTTTTCATCTGCACGCCACATTGGAAAGAGCTTGCTCTTTGTAGCTGCCCGTGGATTCTGAGCAGGTCCATCTAGGCTTCGCTTGAGGCCTTCATCAATGAGTCGAGCATCTTCTGGAGGTTCTTCATCACGACTCTTCTTGTTGGGAGGTTCAGCGGTATCCACTGTCGGCCATGGTTTGCCGGGATCAGGATGTCCAGGTCGCCGGCGGTAGATCAAGGTTGTCTCGATGGACCGGATGCCCTCAGGAAGCTTCTTGTGCACCTTGTGGGTGGTCATCTCAGGTGTCACTTCTTCATCAGCCACCACGTTGTTGGTGTCCAGGTCAACGGTGATTCGCCTGAACACATCACCCCAGAGAGGACCGTGGCTGTTGCTTCCTCTGAAGCGTTTGGCTTCGACATCATATCTTGTCCATTGGCGAAGATCACCAACTTCTCCACGGTCAACATCTCCAGTGTCCTTGGATTTCTGGTTCTCCAAGGTCGCCTTCCAAAGCTCATCCGCATCATTCATTGGCTTGGAGGCTGAAGACGATGAAGTGGATGGTGTCTCTGTAGTCGATCTTGTAGGTTCCACAGCTGCATGAGCCATAGGCTGTGGCCTGATAGGTTCTGAGATAGGCACAGTTTCCGGCATCGATGGAGTCGGCCTGGAAGGAGTCAAGCTGGTAGTCCCCTTCTTGCCGGTGTGCTCATCGATCACAATCGGCGGTTGGTCATCATCATCAACAATCACGACTGGTCCTTTAGGTGGAGTCCTTGAACGCTCACGTCGCAAAGCTGAAGGTGCTGGAGTGCTAGGAACTGGACCAGGTGTAGATGGCGCCGGCATAGGTGTCTGTGGTGCAGCTGAAGGATTCGGTGTTCTGGATCCTTCAGGGGGTACTCGAGGCGTCGGCGGAACTCGCCGGGATCTGGGCTTCTTCAACCACAGAGTGTCCTTCTTCATTGACAACAGGTTCACCCTCCTTGGACACATCGATGTAGCCCAGCTTCTCACTGTCAAACCTCAATCTTACTTTTGCTTTCAAGAGCTCTCGTGGGACAGATTCTAGCCCTTGCTTGTCCATGTTGCTCATCTTGAAGATCTGGCTCTTGTTGCATTTCCACAGTTCACTTCTGCGCGTCACCCACACCGTATCGCCCTTCTGGAGGACAACGTAGCATGGTCCAACTTTTGCTTGATAGCCCCTCTTGCCCTGTCTCCAGACATAAACAGGTTCGCCTTCTTCAAAATGAAGATCTTCACGG